CAACATTTACTTTAACATGGAAGAAGCGCACGCTTCCAATCTATGGCCAAGATCTTTCCCTCCCGATACAAGTTCCACCTTCCTCCCAGGGAAAGAACACAGTACAACAACGTAATTCCAGCTCTGTCTGTGCAGAAATCTTTCCTAGTCAGGAAAGTATAGAAACAACAGGAGAAATCCGTAATTCTGCTACTCATTAGGAAACACTTAACACTGATCTCAAGCTTCAGTATGCATTAGAATTATCTGAGAGACCTGGTAGAAATACAGATTTAAATTCACTATGCAATGTGGGTGGGGCCCAAGAGTGTACACTTACAACACAGCTCTCCAGGTGACTCTAATCGAAAATAAAGAATGAGCCAGGTAGAATAGTGCATGCCCATAGTCCTAGCTACTTGGGAGGCTGAGGTGGGAGGACTGCTTGAGCCCAGGAGTTTGAGACCCCACCCCTAGCCCGTAAAAAATAAAAATAAAAATTCATACTTTGAGAAACTAGAGTATTAGAATTGGCCGCTTAGCTGTTCTATTTTTCTAGGAATCGTCCATGTAACCTTAATATCTAAATATCAAGCCCCTCTACCTGATCTGAAAGGCCCTTCACAATCTGGCCCAGGTCTTTAAACTTCAATTCCACTCCTACATCCATCTCTGCCCTTCAGTAACTCCCTAGCAGAGCCATGCTGGACCATTGCTGCATTCCTCCTTGATGTTGACCCTTCTCTCTCTTTCCTCCTCTCTAGGAGGGACTATTTACTCTTCACAGTGGTGTGATAGGGTGGGTAAGTACATAGCACTCTGAACTCTAAAGCCAGTAGACCTGGTTTCAAATCCCAGAACACACTCCCTTTGGTAAATGTGGTTGACCTCTCTGAGCCTGAGATGACTCCTCTATAAAATCAGAGGTAAGAATAACCCACCCCAAGGCTACTACATGAGCACTGGCAGCATTTAGTATAGATGACAAACATGTTTATATCCCCCGACACACACAAAACCTTCAGTCTTCCCAGGAAAAACTGCCCTGTCGTCTCTAAATAATATAAACATCCCTCTTGGAGATAAACGCACACACACATTTTTATATGTATATGTGTGTGTTCATACACACACACACACACACACACACACACATACAGGCCTGTCCTCACAGGACAGCCTGTAAATCCAATTCTGGTAGGACTTATATAAGCAGATACTCAGGACGCTGCATTAAATCAAATCAGTATACTAAAGTTTTAAAAATAAGACAGGCCGGGTGTGGTGGCTCACACCTGTAATCCCAGCACCTTGGGAGGCCGAGGTGGGTGGATTGCCTGAGGTCAGGAGTTCGAAATGAGCCTGGCCAACCCCATCGTTACTAAAAATACAAAAATTAGCCAGGCGTGGTGGTGGGTGCCTATAATCCCAGCTACTCGAAGACTTAGGCTGGAGAATCGCTTGAACCTGGGAGGCAGAGGTTGTAGTGAGCCAAGATTGTGCCACTGCACTCTAGCCTGGGTGACAGAGTGACACTCCATCTCAAAAAAAAAAAAAAGGATAATCCAAATCTGTAAGGTAGCCTACCCTCACCATCCCCCCAAAGTTATTTTACTGAGGGTTTTTTTTTTTTTAAATGATCATATTTCTTCATATTTTGGTATTTTGATGCCAAGGGGAGAAAAAGCAACCAATATTTAGGATCCCACAGTTGCCAAATAACCAAGTTTACCTACAGTAGGTGGCATATGCCTAAGTATGGAAGGCGGATGGAGTTGAAATTGACTAATCCAGTCCATCTTAAAACATTCTGAGCATTTAGTATGCACAAAAATGTTTGATAATGTAAAAAAGGTGCATAAAGTATGGTTTCTTCTTTCAAGGAGCTCAACCTATTTGGGGAAAAGTACTGACAAAATGCTTTCTTCCATAGACAAAAATAGCAATGACTACCACCCTCCAAACTTCATCTTGTTCATCCTCTTCAGGAAACAGAGGAAGTTAAAAATAAGTACAATTTGGAAGATAGGTGTTTGTTTACAAATATCAGCGTCATAAAAAAGATTTAAAAGACTGTCTGCCAGGATGTGGAAATTCTCATCACATCCTCCTAACATCTGTGAGCGGTAATATTAGTCCTATTTTATAGATGAAGAAGCTGCGGCTCAACTGCTATATAAGCGTTAGCACCAATTCATGAAGCTTGGGTGGTGGAGCTAGGAACAAAGTTCAGTTTTAACTATAAGCTCATCTCCTTTGCTTAGAATTGAAATTTAAGTATTCTTCCAGATCTAGGTTGAGTTTTTAGGTAGTCTTCATGTTTTGTAACCGAGGAGTTTAAACCATGCCATTTTAGATGACCTGTCTTACAGTCCGTGGCTGCACACCCATTTGGCTCCAGAATGAGAGTACATTGTTTACTAATTACCATATAAATTTGTCAGAAAGTTAGAGAACTCTTAAATAACAGCCCAAATGCCGGGGATGGGGTGGGGGTGGTTGGGGAGTAAGTTATGGACAAGCTTCAAGTACAGGTGGCTAAACAGCAGATCCAGCCTTAAAACAAGCAAACTTGAGGACACGATTTTCTGTTCTTGTACCTGCTTCCCAAGCACCCTTCCTTCACATTTTATTTGATTCTCTCAACAATCCTATTATAGGAGGAAAATTGTCATAAAAAGAAAACTCTTAGCAGCTGTTTCAGTCCTTTTTCACACTATTAGAAAGACATGCCCAAGACTGGGTAATTTATAAAAGAAGGGTTGACTCACAATTCCACATGACTGGGGAGGCCTCAGGAAACGTACAATCGTGGCGGAGGCAAAGAGGCACGTCTTACGTGGCAGCAGGTGAGACAGATTGAATGAGTGAAGGGGGAAGAGCCTCTTATAAAACTATCAAATAGATCTCGTGAGAACTCACTATCACGAGAACAGCATGGGGGAAACTGCCCCCACGATCCAATCATCTCCCACCAGGTTCCACCTGTTGATTATGAGGGTTACGGGGATTACAATTCAAGATGAGCTTTGGGTGGAGACACAGAGTCACGCTATCTCAGCAATGATCCCAGGTCTAGTGTTCTCTCCTTAAAACTCCACCTACCCTAAGAATCAAAGTAACCATTAAATAATTATATAATGACCTAGGAAAATATCCCTGTTACATGAAAAAAATATATCATGTGCGGGATAATTCTATTTTTGTGTAAAACAAAAAACGAGTATATTTTATGCATATGTAGACATGTCAATAAGAGGAAAAGTTCCAATAGTACACACCAAAGTAATGGTTCTCTCAGGTGTACAATCAAATGGACAGGAACATTTCTACTTCTTGCGTCATTTTTTAGAGTGGTAATGTTATGGGTAATTTTCAGCTTGTTTCGGTATTAGCAAGATGTTACTTCCTCCACTTACTGCCTTTAGGAATGCAGCCAAGACAGTCCTTGCATCTTGAGTTGGGAGCATTACTTGTCATTGTCTAAAGCTTCTAACTGACTGAAACCTCTGGAAGTGTATATAGTAGAGTCCTAAGTTGCAAGCCTGAGATGCCCAAGGTTCTTTTGGTTGAATTGGTTTCCTACCTATCACACAGGACTGCCATGAGTATGGAGGGTACTAACGTATATATGGAGGTGCTTTATTGAGCTATGCAAAGGCTGTGACTTCCCTCCCCTAAGCCCTTTCCTGTATATCTCTAGGCAGTTTGGACCTATTCAGCTGATATATTTGGCTCTGAAAAGCAGCAAATGTCACAATCCTAAAAGGACATGAAAGTTGTATTTCACTGAGTACATTAAGGGCACCTCAATTCCTCAGTCTAACTTCCAGCAAAATGCAAATCTGAAAGACAGAAGTTCCTAGGATCTAATGTAAGACTTCAGTATGGAGAAGGTAAGGGAGCAATTCTCTGTGCTGCTTGGGATGCCCCCCATCTAGCTTTGACAGGAACCAGTAACTGGAAGACTCCCCAAAGTCACATTCTCTTTCTGGCAGAGGTTCCAAACAGAATCTAACAGTCATTTGATGAGTAATCTCCGGCCAAGTGAGAGGACGGCTACCAGAGGCACAGCAACTCAAGCTAATTTTCATCCTCACTCCACGACTATGACACGAATGGAAAAAACCCAAGATGTGCAGATCCATTCTGGTCAAGTTAGAGGGAGGGAGGGAATTCAGGACACGAATGTTTAGGCTAAAGCCTAAAAGTGTGAAATGGACTTAAGCAATGCACACTGGCAGATAAGCAGCTAATCAAAAAGCCTATTTATTACCTGGTTAAAAGCCTAAGCATCTGCTTTCCAAAAAGCCATTTGGATATATACACAACAGACCATTAACAGTCATCACCACAGTGCTTTCCAAAATTTCGTGGTATATTTTAATAGGTTCTTAACTACACTAAGACCAAAAAAATAAATAAATAAAAAATCCCGTAATAACAAAACAATGCAATTAAAACAGCACTCATACCTACAGCAAAAGAGGTCTCTAGCCTGCCAAGCTTAATTCTGAAGTAAAAAAAATACAGCAATCCCAGCCCAAAGTTCTCCGGAAATGTAGCCCTCAAGAAGGAAATACTGCTATTGAGGTCTATAAGTAGAATATTTTCACAGTGCAAGCAAGACTAGCTATCTTCATGAGAAGTATGTAAGGAATACTAAATAGCAGGGTCACAGATGATTGCCCCTTTCAAAACAGTGAATTATCTGTATCTTAATTAGGAAGATAAATCATTTGTTCTTGAGAAAATCTTCATCTCTTTTTAAAAACCTCACTGGTAATATAGATTACTAAAACCTTTGCCACAGAAAAGATGCTAACACCAAAGCTGATGTGTCAATCAACAATTTTCAGTTTGTCTTTCATCCTCTTACTGCTTCGTGCCTAACAATGTTCGGAATCTTTCAACAGAAACACCAAAGTGCTTTCTTGGAATCCTGCAGAGAATTGTCTTCTTTGAGGAAAGCACGCTTTTCCAATAAGAAATATAAGAAAGCCAATGGTCTAGATTTTAACTTTTTAAAGGTAAGCTAAGTCTTTAATTTCAGAAAATCTGCTATTATACAAATTATTTTTTCATTCATAAAAAACAGTCCACAGCATTCATAAAACAGGGTGGCAGAATAAAGACACTTTTCAGGTGGATTCTTTAAGAACAGATGAGTAAGTTAGCAATTTAATACAGATGAAAACAAATACAATCCATATAAAAACAGAATCTGGGAGTGGGAGGGAAGATGTATCAAACAAAGTAAATTCAGAGTTTTCACGCATGTAACTCAACACCTGCATTTTCTTCGCTTAAAAACCAAACTAAGGGCCGGGTGTGGTGGCTCACACCTGTAATCCCAACACTTTGGGAGGCCAAGGCAGGTGGATCACGAGGTCAGGTGATTGAGATCATCCTGGCTAAAACGGTGAAACCCCATCTCTACTAAATACACAAAAAATTAGCCGGGCATGGTGGCACACACCTGTAGCCCCAGCTACTCGGGAGGGTGAAGCAGGAGAATCACTTGAACCCAGGAGGTGGAGGTTGCAGTGAGCTGAGATCACGCCACTTTACTCCAGCCTGGTTGACAGAGAGAGACTCCGTCTCAAAAAACAAACAAAACTAGGTACTTTAATAGGTGTTCATAAAGAAGACTACAAAAGTACTGAAAAAATATTAGCCTTACATATACCCCCAAAAAAAAAAATTTTTTAAAAGAGAAATTAATAATCCCCATCTACAACTAGGTTAATCATAGGATTTCCCTTATAGAGACAGACAGAGAAAAGTAACTTTTTACAAGCTTAGCTTTGAGGTACAATGCCTGAGAGCTCTCAACTGGGGTGTTTCCTGCTCATGCTCTCTTCACTATAAACAAATGTGGTTTATGTAGTGGAATACATACTTGAAAAATTCCTTTAAAAAGAATCACAAGTTTCATTTTATATATACAACAAATTTTTAATTATGTACTGAAAATAAATTACAGGAAATAACTTTAAAATGCAACAGAGGACAAAGTCACAATAAACATTCCCATTGAATTCCCTTGGGGCGGGGGGTGAGATTGCAGTGCTCAAGATAAATATCACAAATATATCAAAAACTTCAAATTGTCTATGCATTCACACACTGACATGAGCCACAAACATTCCTTTCACAGGGACTGTACTTATTTAGCCTACCACAGGACCAGATTTTGCCATAAACTACAAAACTTTTAATACAAAATTGTATTTATATATTTATAATTCATATACATGCCCTATCTGTGATTTTAGAAAATAAAAGCTACACACTGTACAGACACTCTTAACTCATAGCTGTAGGCAACATTTTTGGATGGAATTTCTTCCCCAATAAAATTAATGGCATATTTTATGTACATGAAGGCTAAACTGCAAAAGACAGTTCAGTTTCCCAGATATGCATCTCCTTTTAGGGCAGGTTTATAAATTTAAAAAGGCAAGACAAATGTACACCTCAGAATTACTTTCTTAGCTACAAGAGTTGTCATGTAATTTCTGTGAAGTTTCTGATACATGCATTTATGTAATACTGGTATTGAAGGCGGTAAAGCAATATATACTTTTAATGTAGTGGCTCAATAAAGGCTTCATTGTCATTCCAATCTGGTTCTTGAAACAGTGATTCATAAATTCTCTAAAAACTAAAATTTCAATGGGACACTGTGTTAAAGAGACTCTAAATAGATTTCTGAAAATATTTCCCTGAAATATCCTTTTACGTAAGACAAATTCACTAACATTAGATTAAGTAAAAAGAAATAAAAGAATTAAACATGGCCCAAAGGTGCATGATTAACCAATGCTCCTCAGCAAATCTGCATGTCTTAGGAGCCATTAAAAGAATGCTTAAAACTAACAAACAATTTTCACACTCTGTGGCAGCCATCTGTGAAGCCAGTTACACTAAACTACTTCTACAGTTGATTGTAAACTTTGGTTTATTTTTATTTGAGTTCTCATTGTACAGCAAGCATGAAAAAAAAGAGAGTGGAGTCCGTGAGGAGATGAACTGTCAGTCTGTCTTTAATCTGGCATGATGAGACACCTGGTCAGTCAGGCCTGCTTTGATAGAGTTTGTTACAGACTGCCTTATGTTTTCCTCCATCAAATTATCACCCAGGGGCTTCAATACCTGTGGTATGAGAAATGTGCAAAACAAACAAAAACATGAGGTAAAAAAAGAGTTACATATAAAAATAGATATAAAAATTCAATTCAAAGCAATGATGAAAATAACCAGGAATATGGGAAATAAAAAGATGCTTCTCTCAAAAAAACTTATGATGCTACTAGACATTTTATAATGCAACAAAAATTACTTTCCTCTTATTCAAACCATTTACAATTCCTATGAGATGGATGTGCAATTCCATACCCTATATGCAGCATCAAATCTGGTATTGTGTATACAGCATTTATGCAGACCGGCCCAGACGGTCCTGCTTATTGTCCTACATGTATAAGTGTGAACACTTCAGATAGAGAAAAAGGTTAAAAATACTGTCTAATTTTTCTTCTTGTTATTGTTGGATGACAGTCTCTGTCGCTGTGCTGATGAAAGAGCACGATGAACCATTCGACGTCTAGTAACTTCAAAGAGTTTGGAAAACACCTAAAACATGAAGTGATTTGTTAGGAGAATGACTCAGAGTGCCTCGAAGCTAAAGAGTTTAAGACTACAAGAACTTGAGACTGTAGGTTCTCACCTTCCTGGGACTCCTCTGAAGCAAAAGAAAAGAGAAATGCAAAGAAATTTAGACAAGGTTTGTTGACACAGCACAGATCTGACTAGTTGATCACCTAACCTCAACTATACTGAAAATGATTTTATACACTTTAGATTCTTCCATTTAATTGTTTTGTAATAATGGTACCTCTAAAATCCTAGAATCAATGCTGTTTAAGAGATGAATATTTCTCAAGATATTGTACAATTATTGAAAATTATACTGCAGAAAATAATGATCCAAAATTTTAAAATAGCTAATTTTTTCTTAAAAGTGAAGCTGCGATAGTTTTGCATCCATCTTCTATTAGAAGATATCAAAGAAACATCAAGTAGTGAGATTGAGATAAAAATTTAAATAGAATAAATACCCAAACATAAACTTCCCAATCGGATCTAAATAGAGCATTTCTCTAAAGAGTAAATACAAAATCCAAATTAATATAGTGGGTCACTTTATAAAATAACATCATTACAAGAAAAGTCAATATCCAATCAACTTTCTTCAAAAAAAAATGGTCTGCTTCTTCAGTCTTGGAGTTTATAGCCAAAACAAACACGGACTCGCATATCCTAGATCTTCAAATAAGTGCAATATTTCATGAGCCCAGAAATGGCATCTGAAATGCCTATTACAGTGGTCATCATTAATAACTGTAGCTTTCATTCTGGTCCTTGACATGATGTTCAAGTATTTCACAAAGATCATTTTAATAACATCCGTAAGTGGAATTTTCTGTCCACAGGTAATTCCAGCACACAGGAGGCAGATACACAAAATGGCTTTCCTTAGTAGATACTTGCTGGGCAAGAGTTCACAGCCTGGCTTTGAATTCTGCTTTGAGGTAAAAGATTATGATGGAACGTGGTTCTCTGCTCATGGCGCTTTGCTTTACTAATTAATATTTCCATAATACAAAAGTCAAAGTTTCCTTGGTAAGAAATCCCTACAGGATTGTTCCTCATAGTACATCAGGAAATCACTACTATCTTCATGGAAGGCAATGAAGACCTGTCTACCATCCAGCATTTCTCCTGCATTGCTGCTTGCCAGTATTAGGAAGAAACTTATTTTCCTTTCCAAAAGCACCACTTCCAAACTTCTTCTCCTTACCTTCAAATCATTCATTGTTTGTATTTTCTTTACTCAAAGAAAAAAAATCATTACAGACTCTGACCCTGCCCACCGTCTGGTATAATCAGGCCTACAACTAAGAATCTATCCAGAGGACAGTACAGATTTAGGCTAACCAAAGTACATTAAAATTGTAACTTTAAAGACAAAATCTTAAATTCATAAAGATTCTACATCTGAAAACAGAAGACATCCTTTTGACATTTCTCATATGAAGGAAAAGTAGGAGTACAAATACTGCAAAGGATGGAAAATCACAGGAAAATAAGATTAGCCACTGAAAAACCAAAAGATAGATACCAACCTGTTCCCATAGTGTTTCAGCAATCTGATCAATCATTGTTCCAATTTCTCTGAACTCCCCAGAGTATTTAACATATGCCCAAGTACAAAGAAATGTCAGTGCTAACCCCATGACAAGGTTACACAAGACGGCTATAGAGTTTAGGCCAATGAAGCCAGTCAGTCCTGAGATTATATACATAGCAAACATGACCGCAAACAGTGTGGCTGGGGTACGAGCAGCATAGAAGATATTTTTGCCATCATTGTGCTTTATAAAATTTGCATAGGTTTCTTCAATTTCAGCTTCAAGCTGGTCCTGATAACGTCGGCAGAACTCATCTCCACCCATCTTTTTTACAGAACGAAATTGTTTTATCGCCACTTCCTTGAGATCCAAGTGTTTTCGCTCCAGATCTGAAGGTGCAATGTAAGGCTTGTCCCCTCCACATACCTGGACACAGAGAATTACAGTATTACATGCTGGAAATAATTAACACTTGAAAGAAGTTCCTGTTCATAGTTTTTAGTCTCAGAAAGTCAAACCACTTACATGATTCAGTTTTAAACTCACAATACCTCACAGGTTATCATAACCTAGTTATTTTTTATATGTTGAACCTACTCAAGCAAAATAATTTTCCAATTATGACTAACTGAAACTGAAGACAAAAAAATTTTACACTGCGCTCTGTACCTGCCTTCACTTGACCATCCATACACCATAATAGTACACAAAACTGTTGGCAAGAGAGTGGGTAAAAGATAATGCCCCAAAAAGATATTTTAATGTTTGAGCAAGCAAGTACAGAAACTGCTACTGGCCTTAAACTAATGCTACTAACATCACAAGTCACTAATAACAGCACTCTGAATCACACATTTGTCAGAAGATATTTCAGTAGAGTTTATCTAATAACTTACTGCTCAAATTCTGTTCTCTAAAATGTGAATTATTTTCTTATAGTTTATTTCCAGCAAAGACCATAAAGGGGAATTAGGGAATAACGTACCAAAAGCTGCACGAATTAGCTCAATTATTTTTAATTTTTTTTTTTTAAATACTTTTTTAAAAAATTTAAAGATCTTCTCACTCCAGCTTCAAATTTAAATTTTAGGTACAAACCTGTTCCATACTTTTACAATAGGTATCTCTTGCTCCTGCTACTGCAGCAAGATTATTAGCTTCAGCTGTTGCCTAAAAAATAAAATGTGCCATTATTATGCAAAAAATACTCTATGACTCTAAAAATTCTGATTAACATAATAAGTTATATACAATAAACCCTAACCCTAACCCTAATCAACTCTGAAAATGAACCAAATAAAGTAACTTCCAGTTTTTCTTTCCTATGGAAGGGTACATTGGTATAAAGGATACAATGGTTAGTGGTTCCAATAGGACTGCCTGCCTAATTTTGTTTCACTTAGGTTGATATTAAAGTGTGTCTGTAGAAAACACCACATATGCTCAGGAAATGGATAAAGATAAATAGATATAACCCTAAAATGTGTGGATCTCCAGGTGCTAGGAATCGAGAATTACTCATTTGGGTCTCTCTCATAATCAGTATTTTACAAGACATTTTCAAACCCACAAAACTTACTGCACGAATTTTTATCAGCAAATACTGTTTAATCTACTATAAAATGGAAAAATAGCCTAAAGTAGTAAATTTTTAAAAATATGAATGGGTTAAAATGGCACTGTCCCAAAGGAACACCATTTGAAAGAGGGAAAAAAAAAAAAGACTATATATTAAGTAGCTCTAAATCATTAACACCAAATAAAAATAAGACTTATTTCAAACAACATTCATTGTCAAAGACTCAGAATAGAAGCAGTTTAGTTCAGAGAGGCCCACATTAAGTCATCTTATAAAACAGAAATTTTCCTGTACTTTGAGCATCAGGAGAGAAGGTATTGTGGACTCTTATTTCTGGTGGCCTAGACACATGGAAGGCCTACAATCTGCAGTTACAAAAAATGTATGAAACCTTAGGACCCATGACACATACAGCCTTAAGCAAAATGTATTTGCGTGCAAAAAAGCACCCCCCATTTTCAGCACTTCTCTCTAAAGCAAAGATCTTTATTCTCCCTCATAAATAAGTATATGTACAACACACATCACTCTCTCACTCTCTCTACCTGAAGCATGGACTTTGGATGTGGAAGTTCCTCTCCTTGATAAATTTTGATGTAAGCCTAAAAAGGGAGAAGATTTGTTAGACTGATGGGTTATGCAATTTGGCTCCCATCCCCAAAGAAAGAAAAGTCATTAAATATTAAAATAATTCACACCATTAAAAGTAAATTCTAGGCTTTAAAAATCACCTTATTCCAACAAAGTTAACTCTATTCTCAGTATTATTAAATTATATGCTGCTAGATAATATCATAGATATTTCTATAACAAATAAAACATAAAAGCTGTAACACATAAAGTTAGATATAAAATGCCATCCTCTTTATGAAAATAAGTTCACAATTACCCCCTACTGCCAGTGTTTTAATATTTAAAAAATTCTTTTTTTCTCTTTCTTTAGAGATGGGGTCTCATCCTGACACCGAGGCTGGAGTGCAGTGGGATGATCACAGCTTACTGCAACCTCGAATTCCTGGGCTCAAGTGACCCTCCTGCCTCAGTTTCCCAAGTGGCTAAAACTACAAGGTGTGTGCCACCACATCCAGCTTAAGAAACAATTTTATCCAGTATTTTACTTTGACCAGCTTAAATTGTATTTCAGCTCAAGAAAAAAAAAAAACAAAAAACAAAAAACCTAATTTGTGGTTTAAGAGTAAGAAGGAAAAGATGAGAGTTTGTTAGAAGTCCATATAGGGTCTTTCATCTCAACTTTTTTTTTTTTTTTTTTTAAAGACGGAATTTCGCTCTTATTGCCCAGGCTGGAGTGCAATGGCACAACCTCAGTTCACCACAACTTCCGCCTCTGGGTTCAAGCGACTGTCCTGCCTCAGCCTCCCGAGCAGTTGGGATTACAGGCATGCACCACCATGCCCAGCTAATTTTGTATTTTTAGTAGAGACAGGGTTTCACCATGTTGGCCAGGCTGGTCTTGAACTCCCAACCTCAGGTGATTCGCCCACCTCAGCCTCCCAAAGTGCTGGAATTACAGGCTTGAGCCACTGTGCCCGGCTCATCATCTCAACTTTCTACTGACAAAATTCATTCATAACTGGGAAGGAAGCAGAACAAGATGGCCAAATAGAAGCCTCCAGTGATCACCACCTCACAGGAATATAAAACTGAACAACTATCTACATAAAAAAGCACCTTCATAAGAACCAAAAATCAGGTAAGCAATCACAGTACCTGGTTTTAACTTCAAATCACTGAAAGAGTCACTGAAGAGGATAGGAAAAATAGTCTTGAATCACCTACACCACCTCTCCCCCATCCTCTCAGCAGCAACCACATGGTGTGGAGAGAGAATCTGTGTGTTTAGGGAAGGAGAAAGCAGTGACTGTGGAATTTTTGCAATGAAATTCAGTGCTGCTCTGCCACAGTGGAAAGCAACACGGGGCAGAACTCAGCCAGCACCCATGGAGGGAGCATTTAGAAGAGCCCTAGGCAGCCAGCCCTGCCACCATGGGCTACAGTGCTCTGAGGTCCTAAATAAACTTGAAAGGCAGTCTAGGCCCCAAGAACCAATTCCTGGGCAAGTCCTGGTGCCGTGCTGGGCTCAGAGCCACTGGACTTCGGGTGCATATGATATAGTAAGACACCAGCTAGGGCAGCCAAGGGAGTGCTTGTGTCACTCCTCCCCCAAGCCCAGGCAGTGTAGTTCACAGCTGTAAGAGAGAGTCTTTCCTTCTGCTTGAGAGGAGAGGAGAGGGGAGAGGAAAGAGGCCTTTGTTTTACAATTTGGTTACCAGCTCAGACACAGTAGAATGCGGCATAAGGCAGAGTCCTAAGGCCCCAATTTCAGTCCCTAGCTCCCAGACAAGATTTCTAAACACACCCTGGGCTGGAAGGGAACCCACTGTCTTCAGGGGTATGACCAAGTCCTGGCAGGGTTCATCACCTGCTGACTCAAGAGCCTTTGGGCTCTGAATAAGCAGCAGTGGTAGCCAGACAGTACTTACTATGGGTCTTGGGTGAGATTCAGAAATGTGTTGCCTTCAGGTGTGACCCAGCACATTCCCAGATGTTGTAGCTATGAGGAGAGTCTCCTTCTGCTTGAGTAAAGGAGAGGAAGGCCGGGCACAGTGGCTCACACCTGCAATCCCAGCAATTTGGGAGGCCAAGGTGGGCGGATCACCAGAGGGCATCTCTAGGACCCACCCAAGGCCAGAGGGAACTTGCTAGATTTGCCACCTGCTGATTGTAGAACCTTTGGGCCTTGATTGACCACAGGCAATAACCACGCAATAGTCACCATGGGCCTTGGGCAAGACCCCCTGCTGTGCTGGCTTCAGGTCTGACCCAGTGAAGCCCCAGGGATGGTGGCCACAATGGTGCTTGTGTCACCTCCTCCCCCAGCTCCAGGCACAGAGATAGAAACTCCATTTGTTTGAGAGAAAGTAAGGGAAGAGAACAAGAGTCTCTGCCTGGTAATCCAGGGAATTCTCCTGGATCTTACCCAAGAGCACCAAGGCAGTACCTCTACAAATCTGCAAGCATCACAGCATTATGGGCTTGAAATGTCCCTAATGCAGATATAGCTGCAGTGACCAAGATCACAACACCCAAGTCCTTTCAAATAGTTAGAAAGCCTTCCCAAGGATGACAGGTACAAACAAGCCCAGACTGCAAAGACTATAACAAATACCTAACTCTTCAATGTCCAGACACCAACAAATATTCACAAGCATCAAGACCATCCAAGAAAACATGACCTCACTAAACAAACTGAAATAAAGCACCAGTGACCAATCCTGGAGAGAGAGAGATAAGTGACCTTCAGAGAATTCAAAATAGCAGTTTTGAGGAAACTCTAACAAATTCAAGATAACACAGAGTAGGAATTCAGAATCCTTTCAGATAAAGTGAACAAAGAGACTGAAAGAATTGTAAAGAATCAAGCAGAAATCCTGGGTCTGAAAAATGCAACTGACACACTGAATAATGCATCCAAGCCCCTTTTTTATTTTATTTTATTTTTTTTGAGATAGGGTCTTGCTCTGTCTCCCAGACTGGAGTGCAATGGTGCAATACTGGCTCACTGCAACCTCTGCATCCCAGGCTCAAAAGATCCTCCTACCTCAGTGTCCCAAATAGCTGGAACTACAGGCATGCACCATCATGCCTGGCTAATTTTTGTATTTTCTGTAGAGAGAAGGTTTCACCATGTTGCCCAGACTGGTCTCAAATGATCTGCTCATCTCAGCCTCCCAAAGTGCTGCAATTATAGGCATGAGCCACCTCACCCGGCCTCAGAGCTTAACACAAGACCAGAACAAGCAGAAGAATTAGTCAGCTTGGAGACAGGTTATTTGAAAATACACAGCTGAGACAAAAGAAAAAAGAATGAAAAAGAATGAAACATGCCTACGAGATCTAGAAAATAGTCCCAAAGGACAAATCTAAGAGTTCACTGTCTTAAAGAGGAGTAGATAAAGAGATAGGGGTAGAAAGTTTATACAAAGCAATAACAAGAGAACTATCCACACCTAAATACCAATATTTAAGAACAAAAGATTATAGAACACCAAGCAGACTTGACCCAAATAAGACTACCTCAAGACTGACTACCTCAAGACTACCTACCAAACAAACTCCCAAAGGTCAAGGGTAAAGAATAGATCCTGGTTGGGCATGGTGGCATATGCCTATAATCCCAGCACTTTGGGAGGTCAAGGTGGGAGGACTGCCTGACCCTGGAGTTCAACACTAGACTGAACAACGTAGAGAAATGACATCTCTATTAAAAACAACAACAGACCAGGCACGGTGGCTCACATCTGTAATCTCAGCACCTTGGGAGGCTGAGATGGGAGGATCACTTGAGGCCAGGAGTTGGAGACCAGCCTGTTAAACATAGCAAGACCCCATTTCTATTAAACAACAACAACAACAAGAAGCACGAATGGATCCTAAATGCATCAAGAGAAAAGAAACAAACAACACACAAAAGAGCTCCAATACATCTGGGAGTAGACTTCTCTGTGGAAACCTCACAGGCCAGGAGAGAGTAGCATGACGTAAAGTGCTGAAGGAAAAAACATTTTTCCTAGAATAGTATATCCAATGAAAATACCTCAAACATGAAGGAGAAATAAAGACTTCCTCAAACAGAAGCTGAGGGATTTTTATCAACATCAGACCTGTCCTACAATAAAGGATTTTAATGAGCAATAAGAAATGACCTAAAGGTTCAAAACTCACTGGTAACAGTAAATACACAGAAAAACAGAATATTATAACACTAATTGTGGTGTGTAAACTGATCATATCCTGAGTAGAAAAACTAAAAGACGAACCTATAAAAAATATTAACAACCACAACTTTTCCAGACATAGACAGTATACTTTCAATAGAAACAACAAAAAGTTTAAAAAGTGGGGGGATAAAGTTACAGTGTAGAATTTTTATTAGTTTTCTCCTTCCTTGTTAGTTTGTTTAGGCAATCAATGTTATCAGTTTAAAATAAATATATTGTAATTGCAAACCTCACGGTAACCTCAAAAGACATACAACAGATACACAAAAAATAAAAAGAAATTAAAACATACCACCAGAGAAAATCACCTTCACTAAAAGGAAGACAGGAAGGTAGGAAGACCAGAAAACCACCAGAAAACAATAACAACATGGCAGAGGTTAACTTCTTATCAGTAACTTTGAGTGTAAATGGGCTAAACTCTCCAATTAAAAGGCACAGAGTGGCTGAATGGGTTTTAAAAACTGGTGATACACACTTCATCTATAAAGACACGCAGAGACTGAAAATAAAAGTATGGAAAAAGATATTCCATGCAAATGGAAATCAAAACAAGAGCAGAAGAAGCTACACTTATATCAGACAAAGAAGGTCATTATATAATGATAAAGGGATCAATTCAAGAAGAGGATATAACAATTGTAAATATATATGCACCCAATACTGGAGCACCCAGATATATAAAGCAAGTATTATTAGCAACTAAAGAAAGAGGGCTGGGCGCGGTGGCTCATGCCTGTAATCCCAGCACTTTGGGAGGCCAAGGCAAGTGGACCACTTGAGGTCAGGAGTTCGAGACCAGCCTGGCCAACATGGTGAAACCCCATCTCTACTAAAAATACAAAAATTAGCTGGGCATGGTGGTGTGTTACTGTAGTCCCAGCTACTCAGGAGACTGAGGCAGGAGAATCACTTGAACCTGGGAGGCAGAGGTTGCGGTGAGCTGAGATTGCTCCACTGCACTCCAGCCTGGGCAAAAGAGTGAGACTTGGTCTCAAAAAATAAATAAATAAATAAATAAATAAAAATTGAAATCATATCAAGTATCTTCTCTGACCACAATGGAATAAAATCAGTAACGAGGAATTTTGGAAACTATACAAACACATGGAAATTATATTAATACAACAGGCTCTTGAATGACCACTAGGTCAATGAAGAAATTAAGAAAGAAATAAAACACATTCTTGAAACAAATGAAAATGGAAGCACAACATACCAAATGTATGGGATACAGCGTTAAGCAGTACTAAGAAAGTATATAGTAATAAATGCCTACATCAAAACAGAGGAAAAACTTCAAATAAACAACCTAACCACACATCTTAACCAGAAAAGGCAGAGCAAACCAAACCCAAAATTAGAAGAAAAGAAATTAATGAAATTGAAATAAAAATAATACAAAAGATCAATGAAGCAAAAAGTTGATTCTTCAAAAAGATAGTCAACAAACCTTTAGCCACACTAAGAAAAAAAGAGAGACAACCCAAATAAATAAAATCAGAGATGAAAAAGGAGACATTACAACTGATACCACAGAAATCCAAAGGATCATTAGAGGCCACCATGAACAACTATATGCCAATACACGGGAAAGCCTAGAAGAAATGGATCAATTCCTAGACATATACAACCTACCAAGATTGATCCATGAAGAAATCTAAAACCTGTCAGACCAGTAACAAGTAACCAGATCAAAGCCACAATAAAAAGTCTCCCAACAAAGAAAAGCCCGAAAGCTAATGGCTTCATTGCTGAATTTTATCAAACATTTAAAGAACTACTACCAATCCTACTCAAACTACTCCAGAAACCAGAGGAGGAGGGAATACTTCTAAACCAATACTACAAGGCCAGTATTACCCTGATACCAAAACCAGACAAAGACTCATCAAAAAATTACAGGCCAATATCCCTGATGAACACTGTTGCAAAAATCCTAAATAAAATACTAGTACACTGAATTCAACAACACATTAAAACAATCATTCATTATCACCAAGGGTCAGGCAGGGATGCAAGGATAGTTCAACATACACAAATCAATCAATCAATCAATCAATGAGTGTGAGACATCGTATCACCAGATTGAAGGACAAAAACCATATGACCATTTCAATTGATGCTGAAAAAGCATTTGATAAAAATTCAACATCTCTTCATGGTAAAAATCCTCAAAAGGTACAGAAGGAACAGATCTCAATATAATAAAAGCTATATAAAACAGACCCACAGCTAGTATCATACTGAACTGGGAAAAACTGAAAACCTTTCCTTTAAGATCTGAAACAAAACAAGGAAACCCACTTTCACCACTGCTATTCTACACAGTACTGAAAGTTGTATTTCAGTACAAACTTTGAGAAAATGATAGTGGCTTCAATAAATGGTGCTGGGAAAACTGAATATCCACATGCAGAGGAATGAAACTAGACCCCATCTCTAGCCACATATGAAAATCAAATCCAAATGGATTAAAGACTTAAACCTAAGACCCCAAACTATGAAATTACTAAAAGAATACATCAGTGGCCAGGCATGATGGCTCACACCTGTAATCCCATCACTTTGGGAGGCGGAGGCAGGCAGATCACTTGAGCTCAGGAATTCGAGACCAGCCTGGCCAACATGGTGAAACCCTGTCTCTACTAAAAACACAAAAATTAGCTAGGCATGGTGGCAGGTGCCTGTAATCCCAGCCACTCAGGAGACTGAGGTCAGGTGAATTGCTTGAAGCCAGGAGGCGGATGTTACAGCAAGCCGAAATCACGCCACTGCACTCCAGCCTGGAAGACAGAGCAAGGCTCTATTTCAAAAAAAAAAAGGAAAAAGAAAACAAGAAGAAGAAAACATTGGGGAAACCCTCCAGGACACTGGTCTGGGAAAAGATTTCTTCAGTAATACCCTACAAGCACAGGCAACCAAAGCAAAAATGAACAAATGGGATTATATCAAGTTAAAAAGCTTTTGCACATCAAAAAAGTGAAGACGCAACCCACAGAATGGGAGAAAATATTTGCAAACCACTCATCTGATAAGGGATTAGTAACCAGAATATATAAGGAGTTCAAATGACTCTATAGGGAAAAGAAAAAAAAAAAATCGAATGATCTGATCAAAACATGGGCAAAAGATCTGAACAGACATTTCTCAAAAGACATACAAATGGGACACAGGATATGAAAACATCACTGATCATCAGAGAAATGCAAATCAAACTACAGAAAGATATCATCTTCCTCCATTTAAAATCGTTTTTATCCAAAAGACAAGCAATAACAAATGTTGGCAAGGATGTAGAGAAAAGGGAATCCTCGTACACTGTTGGCAGAAAGGTAAATTAGTACAACCACTATGGAGAACAGTTTGGGGTTCCCCAAAAGACTAAAAATAAAATGGCCATATGATCCAGCAATCCCACTGCTAGGTATATACCCAAAAGAAAAAAAAAAATCAGTATATAGAAGATATATCTGCACTTTCATGTTTACTGCAGCACTAGTCACTACAGCTACAATTTGGAAGCAACCTAAGTGTCTATCAGTATACGAATGGATAAAGAAATGTGGTTCATATACACAATTAAGTACTATTCAGCCATATAAAAGAATGAGATCCTGTCATTTGCAACAGCATGATGGAACTGGAGGACATTATGTTAAGTGAAATAAGTCAGGCACATTATGTCAAGTGAAATAAGTCAGGCACTTCAGAACATGTGAAGTCAGGCACAAACATCAGATGTTCTCACTTATTTGTGGAAGATAAAATTTTAAACAACTGAACTCATGAGATAGAGAATACTAGAATGATGGTTACTAGAGTCTAGGAAACCATCGTTCTAGTACTCTGTTATACTATCAAATACTAGATCTTATTCTAACTATATTTTCCTAGACTCTAGTCTAGACTAGAGGTTGGAGGGGAAGCAGAGATGGTTAATGGGTACAAAAATATAGTTAGAGTAAGATCTAGTATTTGACAGCATAACAGGGTAGTTACAGCCAATAATAACTTACTGTACATTTTAAAATAACTAAAAGAGTATAATTAGATTGTAACATAAGGAAGGGATACATGCTTGAGGTGATGGACACCCTATTTACTCTAATATGATTATGATGCATTGTATGCCTGTATCAAAAATATCTCATGTACCCCATAAGTATATATACTACATACCCACAAAAATTTTAAAAAGTAAAAATAAATTTTAAAAAAGTCATTCATAACTAAACAAAGATAATATGAGAGTAACTAACAAGTATCCAATAAGTGAACAAAATACACTCTTAGTTAAAACTACTACAAATAATACAACCTTCCACAACGGTCTTGTTCTGGCAGGCAAGCTATAAAGACTAGAGAAGAACAGAGGGAAAAAAAAAACCTATGAATACTTTACTTGAACCAATATGAATACTTTCAGCTGTTCTTATCAAGTCCTCAGAACTCTGAGGGAGTGTTTTCGTGAGAAGTTAGGATGTAAAATTATGTTCTCCATTCCTATTATCATTCACTAATGACAGAGTAGTATTATAGTATGATGAATGGCTTGTTCTCTCCATATCTGAGATGGAGAAAAAGAAAGATAATTCTGTAAATAAATTAAATCACTGTCTAGGAGACAGAAATCTGCTATAATCTTTTAAATATCCTTAAACACAGGTACATCTAATTCAAGTCAGAAAGATAAATTACAAATCTTACTCTTTTTTGTTTTAAAATAAAGACAAGGAATTTCTTATATATACAGATGAGTTTTAAGTCAACTACATTTCTATCTTAGACAAAGCCATTTAAGAGCTCACCTACCTTAAAATATTCTACAAGATCTCTACAAGTGACTTTAGATCCACTTATCTCTTTTTCTACCAAATTTTCAGGGGCAAGCAGCAATGGAACCAGATTTCGAAGCTCTCGTTTAAAGTCTTCATCAATATCTAGAAAACACAAAATTGAGCAGCATGTTAGTCCAAAAAAATTAGGTCCCTATTGGTACGATTTCATAAAATTCTGTTTTATGAAATAAGAATACATAGTATCTATTACTGAAGTGGACTCATTTGAAAAAAAAAAAAAAAAAAGCTCATCCAATATGTCATATCTCATAGGAAAAAATATAATCCCCCCCTACTCTACTAGGCTATTTTCCCCAACCCCCCAGTAACACTGCCAGTTCAAATAATAAATAAACCATAAATAAATTTGTGGACTACCAAGACAAATTTCACATTTAGTATTAACGAAAATGTCCTTTTTCAAGAGGCAAACAATTCATAAAATTGTATCAAATTTTACTACTAGATTTTGTTTTACCAGCCATGCTGTAAAAGTTTTGTCAATCCCCAAGCGTTTTGCCATCACACTCAAAATAATCCAACATACATCAACTATACTATCACTCCTGAAACAGACTTATGTCTGATTTCATCAATATAATAAAATGATAAAGCCTTTTAACAGACTGCAATCCATTGAAAAGAAATGCTCTCAGCCTTCAGAATTTTCAGGACATCAGTGCTGAGCTACAGACATTATAAAATAGGTTAATCAATATGCTAGACAGCTGCAAACAAATCAATGGAATGCTAGAGAAACAACACAGAGCATTACAATCACAACATGAACAATGCATCCAAACATTCTCCAGTATAAAACAGGACATTTAAGGCGTCATGTATTTTCTTAAAAAACTTTCCACCTCTAATAAATAAGTTCAAATTTTAATAAGAATGGGAATTCCCACCTTTCAATCTCCCATCAAAACTAGGATTAGTTGCAACTTTAAGACCAGGATGTGGCAAAAGGAAGCAACCAAGATTTGAGAAACAATTGTGTATGTGCTTCCTTACATTCTGAAGCTCTTCATGTTGATTTTGTTTTACCTGAGGGCAGAGAGAGACAAGTGAAGTTGTAAACAGCAGAAGAAAAATTTTTTTAAAGAAAACACACACAGACTCGCATGCACACTTAACTCAGATGCTACTCCTAAGGAGTCTTTTTTGACAATACAAAAAATTACGAAGGCCCATTTCTGACCACTTTGTTAAGATTCCATTATTTTTTTTTTTTTAAGACAGAGTTTCACTCTTGTTGCCCAGGTTAGAGTGCACTGGTGCGATCTCGGCTCACTGCAACCTCCGCCTCCCAGGTTCAAGCGATTCTCCTGCCTCACCCTCTTGAGCAGCTGGAATTACGGGCATGCACCACCACGCCCGGCTAATTTTGTATTTTCAGTAGAGACAGGGTTGGTCAGGCTGATCTCGAACTTCCGACCTCAGGTGATCCACTCGCCTCTGCCTCCCAAAGTGCTGGGATTACAGGCATGAGCCACCGCACCCAGCCAACCCCACATTTTCTTAAACCAGAAAAGATGTTTTTCCCAAGTAAGCTGCCTGGAACAGCAAAAACTACAAATAAGGTAGTTAATCACAGTATCTAATAGCCAAATAATGAATTATGGTTGTGACTTATATACCAGTAAATAAATTAAGAATTTACCTTTAAAGTACTTATAACAGCAACAAAACAGAACAAAACAAAAAAAAGTATAAATTTGCCTACAAATAAAAAGTTTAGCCCCTAAGCAAAGTAAAAGCTAAGATAAAAAAATTACAGTGCAGTACAAAGACCTTAGAAATGTGTTAGGATTTCAGGTCCCTCTCTAGGTGATTTACGATTTATGCTAGTTACAGAACTTTGAGAAGGGAAACTGGCATGTATTCTTAAACTTAGAAACATTTTAGATAATTACTCATTTATCCAAATATAACTCACATAGTCTCCTAAATACTTTTCTGGAAAATAATTTTAACAAAGTATGCGCTATTTATAATTAAAACCTGGAAACTACCTAAATCTCCAATAACAGCAGAATGGAAAAACTGTTGTCTATTCATTCAATGGATACTATACAGCAATGAGAATAAATGAATTAAACTATATGCAACATGGATTAACCTCAGAAACATAATATTGGGTAAAAAAAAAAGCCAGACTCAAACAAATACATTCTTTATGTGATTCCATCCATAACATATAAAGTACAAAAACAAAGCCTGTGAGAAGTCAGGATAGTGGTAGAGGGTTTTGGGGGAGGGTTGGTATATGGAGGTGGGTGCTTCTAGGTGCTGGCTAAATAGCTATGTTCCTTTTTTACAAATTCATCAAGCTACACGCTTATGATTTGAGCAATTTTCTGAATATATGTATCACATTTCAGTAAGGTTTTTTCAAAACAACTTTCTTGTTTTTCAGTTACATAATTCTGAGTTTAGTTAGTATGTCTATTGTGCTTTGTGTTAATTTCTTCTGAATGAACCAGAGAGAGAAAATGCGATGACTCAAATTATTTCTAAAAGTAGGATCTGGAAATGCCTTTCGAATAATCTAATTATGTTGAATTGGTTTTAACCTCATTTTAAAAATTAAAAAAAAAATGGTGCTTGCTTTCCCCTTCACCTTCCGCCATGATTGTAAGTTTCCTGAGGCCTCCCAGTCATGCTTCCTGTTAAGCCTGTGAAACTGTGAGTCAATTAAACCTCTTTTCTTCATAAATTACCCAGTCTCAAGTAGTTCTTTATGCAGTGTGAGAACAGACTAATACACAAGTACTTCCATGGGGGGGCTACCTTTAGGAATAAAGGATCATGATCCTTAATTTTGATTCAAGGCACTGTCTTCTTTGATAGGAATGCAACCACTTTACTTTTCATCAATTACAAACAGAGTCACTTGGGCTAACCTGGAATACTTTATTCCAACGACACGTAAATACTGGTAATGTGACCAGCAGTCCGCACAGTCCACCCCTTTGCCTGGCTTGGTGCTTATGCTCTCCTCTTTAAGAATTAAGTCTTACCTGTAATCTCTTTTCAAGAAACTGCTTTCCACCTTCCAAACCGTATGAATGTTCATAAGGATAGCTCCAATCTCGAATCAAAAACATTAATGTCTATACACACAAAAATAAAAATTGTTTATTACAATAAAGAAAATTTACGGAAAAAAAATCACAACTCTAACAATGGAAGCCCCCCTTACTCTCCTGAACAATGCTTATCAAAAGTTATAGTAACCAAATGGTTACTTCCGGTCATGGTTATATCAAGGACCCACTTAAACATTCTCAGGCCCTATACCAAGCAATCACCAGCACTGAAGAACTTCACTAAATATAAAGAGTCACCACAAGCAATAATACAGAATTTTTAAAAACGAAAAACGGGTATATCAGGACATGCAGATCATAATTTTATATCATGGTTGTATAACTACAAGACCAACTAATTCTAGATGGCTATCTAGACTGATTATAGATCTGGTGTCAATAAGGACATTTTCACAGGATGTTTTTACTCATAGAGGGTGAGATTTCTCAACCTCAGCACTGCTGACATTTTGGGTCAGTTAATTCTTAGTTATGTGTAGCTGTAATGCATACTGTAAAACATTGAACCATATTTCTGGCCTCTATGTGCTAGATACCAAGTGGTGCTAAGCTCCTCCACAAAACTGTGACAACCAAAAATGTCTCCAGACATTAACAAATGTCCCCTGGGTGGCAAAATTATCCCAGTTCAGAAAAAACTGATATAGGCCAAATAGGGTATATTTCACCCATAATCTGCTCAACTACTTAATAAAAATTGGCATGACTGTCTTATATTTCCTATTAAGTTTAGAATAACATCTATTAAGAGAAACATTACTCCCCTTAATCTAAGTGAAAGCATTAAGAATTAGCCTAGATTCATTTATTCTATTTATCCTGTTAGCCTACTACCGGTAAGTATGCTGATGATGACATTACCAAAGGTTAGTTTCAATTGCACTTAATCTGTTGCTAGTGATGAGTCTTTTGTAATATCCTGGTGTCTCCAAAATTACAAACTGAGGTGGCTTCACAACTTCTCATAGGCAAATCTTTAAAACGTTAAAATAACTTTTTTACCTGAAATGGTTTCTGGTAGATTTCCTCCATCGCAAGTCTTCCATACTCTGTAAATAACTATTAAATCGAGTTAGTTAAAATAATGCCTCTAAAGAGATTCAAAGAAGACATGTGTAAACCTGTTCTACATCAAAGCTCCAGGTACTAGAACCTTTAAAATCATTTGAAAACCAAACATTTAATTTTCTAACACACTAGGTATATACAAAATTTCTTCCAGTTAAGAAGTCATACATCAGTTTAAACCCATATAACATTCAATCGTGTTACCAGTATTACAGGCTTCCAAGTGTAAATTCACAATAAAGTGAGAATTAAATTTTCAATACTTGGCACATTTTAAGAAATATGTGCTTGCAGCTGGGCGCAGTGGCTCACGCCTGGTAATCCCAGCACTTTGGGAGGCCGAGGTGGGCGGATCACCTGAGGTTAGAAGTTCAACACCAGCCTGACCAACACAGTGAAACTTCATCTCCACTAAATATACAAAATCAGCCAGGCACGGTGGCGCACGCCTGTAATCCCAGCTACTTGGGAGGCTGCGGCAGGAGAGTCCCTTGAACTTGGGAGGGGGAGGTTGCAGTGAGCCGAGATTATGCCATTGTACTCTAGTCTGGGCAACAAGAGCGAAACTCCAACTCAAAAAATTAAAATTAAAAAAAACACGTACTTGCAAATGTTGAAGATCATCTTCTTGAATATTCTGAGACAGATTATATACCTGTTAAAACAAAATTTATTTTGTTTTTTATTAGTGTTTTGTTTTGAATACCCGGCTTGTATATAACTTTACTTGTGGAAAAAAGGTTATTTTGTACCTCAGCGCAAAGGAATCACTTAACTACTATCTTGACGAGTGACATGTGAAAAGGATTTTCTCTTTTTTCCTAACAATAGTCAAGATAGAATACTAAGGAAGAAGCAGTGGTGGTAAAATATGTAAAAAACATGAATATATGCATATTCATGGCCTAAAAGTGGTAGAAAAACAAGTGTGCTATCTAGTAGGTTTCTTTTACTCCTTCTCAAAGCTCTTTAATGTTATGATATGATCATCTTTTAAAGAGTGTAGGTTATTTCCACCACCATTTTTCTAAATTAGTGAATATAAGGGGCAATAGTTTACAAAGATAAATTCCTCCCTGGTACAATCAGAGTATACTGTGACTCAGTGGGTACCTCCACTACTACTGACTCTAGTGTGGTTCTCTTTTTACTCACACTCCTCAGTTTACTTACTCATCAGTTTTTACTTTCACTCAACATGACAATTTTACTGGCCTGTGGAAGCTAATAAAAATAACAGTAGGTGGCACTCTTGCCCTTTCCAGAATTTTTTGGAGGCAACTAGAGCTGATAAAGGAGGGTCTAAACATCCTCAGGAAAGGGGGATTTTCATCCATTAATTCTAAGACAGATCTTTAGAAAGTAATCTACACTGCCAGAGGAGAAAAGTGGCCATCAACAGATATCACCTCTGCTAAAATAACTTACATCTTAAGGAACCAGGGTGACTCCAAAGACCGAACAATCTGTTCTAAGAGCAAATAAGTGCCAAACCACTTGGAGGTCAAGAATATAGTCGATTTAGGCCAGCAAACCTAAAATAATATTCTTAGCTACTAATTCCAAACAAGGATTTAAAAGTAACTGATGACTGAGGTGATAACTTTAGATTTTAACATTTTTAACATAAACTCTGACACAATGATTAACCTATGTGGGCCTTTGCTTTTAGAAAACAAGTCTGGATCCTTTCATTGTCAGGGCCAGGAAACAGAGAAAGGAATTTATTTAACTTAGATCACTAGTACTTAGCATACTGTCTTGTATATAACAGGTGCTCAGTATGTATTTGTTGAAGGAATAAATTACAAGAAGATCAAATTAACATTTATCTATCAGCCAGATATCTTATACAAGGAAAGAAAACTACCCCCTCAAAGGCAAGGAAGAAAATAATCATAATCTTAATCTTCTTGGTTATTTATACTTTACAAAGCACTTTCCTATGCATTATCTCATTTAGCTCTCATTTCTGACTGCACACAACCACTACATGCAAGATAGGCAAGATAACTAAAACTCATTTTACAGACAACAAAGTGGCTGTACAGCTTTAAGTGGTTGTCTAAAACCAGGTCTCTTACTATCAAAAAGTTGAATAAACAAAGAAAAAAAGACCAAGGGATAAGTTGTAAGACAGAGAACTCCCTCTAGAGCCAGCTAACCTGAGGGGCTTCTGCTTGCTTCAAGAGAATCACAGTTGTGCCATCTTGCAAGATCAGAGAAAAAAGAGACTTAGAGGGTCCCCACCAGCATCACTTAGTGGGTAATGACAAATATCCCAACCCTATAATAAACTGAAGCCAAGCTGAAGAGTATACTTCCTTTAGCTCATGTTAACAGCCAACCTTCTTTACCCTCTGATGGCCAGGTACTTCAAAGTGAGGAAGGAGGAAAATGGGAGCTTAGAGAGACGAGTCATATGTTCCAGACATTACTGGAAAGCATTAAAAAAATCCAAGACACTGTGACAGCATCACCTATGATCTACCATTGATAAGAACAATTTCTTATCTTGGGAGGATCACATACCCATTTTTAAAAAATATTTGCAAATATACTTCTTGATACACCATCACCAGCTGGGCCTAACCGCCATACTTCAATAATTCATTTTTCAGAGATGTATCAGCCACAGATGATCTCAGAAAAGAAAAAGTAAAGAAATACCAAATGACATGTGGTAGTTTAATTCAGTCCAATCCATCTAAATTATACAGAAAAGAAATGGCCTAGCCTGAAGAAACCAGAACCTGATAGAACACCAAATACAATTTGAATATAAGTGAAAAAGAGAAGGGATTTTATCCCTTCCTAAATGAAGATGCTAAAAATCCTGTTTATTATTACATAAGCATTATTTGGGTTTCCTAAATTAAACATTAATTAATTATTCTGCTTTTATCTCCTTTAGTTCAAATAACTGAGTACCACTTGTCACAGATATAGAATAAAAAACTAGACTTCTAAGCTTAATTACTTGGGTTTTTTGTTTGTTTTAGCCAAAAAAAAAAAAAAAAAAAAAAACCAAAAATATACTCTCCATATTGCTGTGTCTGGTAGCCATCTAACTGATTTCAATTACAGATAATGTGATATCTTTTCCTTTTTAAAAAAAACAAAACAAAAAACAGTATATATTCTATAAAGAAAAAATAAGAGACTGGTTGTTGGTTTATTGCACCCTTTTTAACTATCCAAAGTACAAAATTTCACATCCTAAGCCAGAAAACCATGCATGGAAATGTAAATAACCAATAAGAAATGTAAATAGCTTTCAAGAAATGTAAATAGCTCTCTTTAATTTTAATTCCTTTTTTTCCCTTCAATCAAAAGGCATTTTGCCAGCACAAGGTGGCACATGCTGATAGTCCCAGCTACTTAAGAGGCTGAGGCAGGAGGATCACTTCAGCCCAGGAGGAAAAAGCTAGAGTGCGTATGATCACACCCATGAATAGCCACTGCACTCCAACCTGGGCAACATAGTAAGAATCCATCTCAAAAAAAATTAAAACAGCATTTTCAAGAGGGGCCAAACACCGGGCGCGGTGGACCATGCCTGTAATCCCAGCACTTTGGGAGGCCAAGGTGGGCGGGTCACCTGAGGTCCGGAGTTCGAGACCAGCCTGGCCAACATGGTGAAACCTGTCTCTACTAAAAATACAAAAAATTAGCTGGGCATGGTGGCGGGAGCCTGTAGTCCCAGCTACTCGGGTTAGGAGAATGAACTCGGGAGGCAGGGGTTGCAGTGAGCCGAGATCACGCCACTGTACTCCAGCCTGGGCAACAAGAGTGAAACTCTGTCTCAAAAAAGAAAAAAAAAAAGGGGGGGGGGTCAAATGATTATGTGAACTGATTGCACCACTTACTCTTGTGTCTCACCTGGACAGAGCTAGTCATAGTGCTCAGAGCAAACACCGTTGCACAGTCTTTGATAGTTGACTGGCTATCAAAGGCACCCTGGGTATCCATAAGCAGCACAGCAACCTAGGAATTTGAGAATTTAAAATACTTAGTAAAACAGTGACCAAAAATGATTATAAAAAAAATCAAATGATAAATTTGAAAATCAGTCATTAAATTAAGAAAAGTACTTATATCTCATACATTTGACATAATAATCCATATGTTAAAGTTATCAAACATTACTAGTTCTGTGTTGTTTTGATTTTTGATACCGGAAAATAGCCCAAGAAAGAACACAGGGTAGAGAAGTATAAACAGATTTTTACTTTCGTTCCATTAGGTCTGTCAATCACAAATACTTCATTCCAAACTTGTATGCCTGTTGTTTCTCTTTCACAGCCACCTCGCCATGTAAAGCCTGTCAATGGTTCATTGTTTCCACCAATCCAACTTTGAGAATCCTGTCAAAGTTAAGGATAAATGTAAAATAAAACACAATTAAGAAATAAAAGAAACCCCAAAAATCACCTATTCTTTATTTTACAGATGGGGAAACTAAATCCAGAGAGAGAGAAAACACTGTGTAACAAACAAGTATTAAAAAGCAGTCCTTAAATCCCATGTGGGGTTCTTTTTCTTGTAGAGATGTAGTCTCCTCCAAACTTGAATCTTCTCAAATCAGCTCACACTACTACTCTCTAGGCTTCTAAATAAGTGGGGTCATACTTACTTCCCTCCTTTTTAGAAAGATTTCCTGGCTGGGCATGACAGCTCATGTCCGTAATCTCAGCACTTTGGGAGGCTGAAGTGGGCAAATCACTGGAGGCCAGGTGTTTGAGACCAGCCTGGCCAATGTGGCGAAACCCCATCTTTACAAAAAGTACAAAACTTAGCTAGGCATGGTGGCACACTCCTGTAGTCCCAGCTACTCAGGAGGTTGAGGTACGAAGGATCACCTGAACCTGGGAGGTTGAGGCTACAGTGAGCTGAGACTGCACCACTATACTCCAGCCTGGGTGACAGAGTAAGATCCTGCCTCAAAAAAAAAAAAGAGAGAGAGAGAGAGAGAGAGAAAGATTTCCTAAAATGTTAAAAACCATAAAAAAAAAAACTCGGCACCAATTATTTTAACATGATCTTACACAGATAAGCAAAACTAAGTTTCAGGTAGAAAGACTGTCAAAACAGCATTGCTCTCTTTAGAAACAGCTTATACTAAGAAGTTTTCACACTGCCTTCATTTCCTCTTTAAAAAATAATCAATTTTAGGCTGGGTGCAGTGGCTCATACCTATAACCCTAGCACTTTGGGAGGCCGAGGCAGGTGGATCACCTAAGTGGCTGAAGTGGGCAAATCACTTTTGAGGCCAGGAGTTTGAGACCAGCCTGGCCAACATGGTGAAACCCCATCTCTACTAGAAATACAAAAATTAGCCAGGTGTTGTGGCACACGTCTATAATCCCAGCTACTCAGGAGGCTGAGGCAAGAAAATCACTTGAACCTGTGGGCGGAGGTTGCAGTGAGCAGAGATTGCACCACTCCACTCCACCCTGGGAAAAAGAGTGAAACTGTCTCAAAAATTTTCAAAAAAAATCAATTTAAAAAGTAACCCCAGGACTTGTTTGGAACCTGATTTAAACAAACCAACTATTTAAAATGCCTTTTTTGAAACCAATAGGAAAATATGAACCCAAACTGGTTATCTCATTAGATGGTGTTAAATTAGGGTAAAGAAGATTGTTTGGTGTGCTAATGATACTGTGGTTAAGAAAAAAATATATAGTCTTTATCTATTAGATACTCAAGTATCTGTAGTGAAAGGATATGTCTGGCATTTGCTTTAAAATATTCCAGGAGGTGAGGAAAAAAGAGAACAGATAAAACAAGACCAGCAAAATGCTGACAGGTACACTGGAGTTCATTATATACAATTCTCTTTATTTTAGGGTATGTTTAAAATTTTCCACAATAAAAGTTTTTAACTAGAACCACAGGGCTAAATTTTTATTATGAAATAATATGAAAGTTAATATATAAGGTAATTTTTCTAGAAAATTAAATCTGGGACATAATAAACGAGTATCTTTGACAGACGTTAAGATCCCTATACTTCCGTATACTTAAAGCCCACATAGCCTTTACTCAATGTACCCCACAGGAAAAATTCCTTTGTTTCAGAAATACTTCTAATAAGCCTGGATATCTAGTCTAAAACAAATTACAAAGCCTGAATTAGGAGTGGAGAGACGTTTAAGACAGGACCAATGAGGGACGAAGCAATTTATTAAAAGCAGACACACAGTGGCAAAAACAAAAACAAAATAGTGTCAGCCAGGCATGGTGGCTTACGCCTGTAATCCCAGCACTTTGAAAGGCTGAGGCGGGTGGATCACTTGAGGCTAGGAGTTCAAGACCAGCCTGGCCAACATGGTGAAACCCCATCTTTACTAAAAAGACATTAAAAAAAAAAATTAGCCAGGCGTGAAAGCACATGCCTGTAATCCCAGCTACTTGGGAAGCTGAGGGAGGAGAATCGCTCGAACCCAGGTTTCACATGGGTTGTGGGAAGTGGAGATTGCAGTGAGCTGAGATTGCACCGCTGAGCTCTAGCCTGGGCAACAGAGAGAGACTCTGTCTCAAACAAAACAAAATAAAACAAAAAGTATCATCCAGACCATCACCTAACATAGCTTTAAACTTCAAACCATCTTTAATTATTAATTATTATTATTATTCCACAAAACTCCCATCCCCAGTAGACCACCAATCCTATCAATTACAAACTTCTCTTGGATTCATTTCTTTTTCTTCAGTTTTCAATACCTTCAACTTAAAGACCTCATCTATGCTGGTCAGAAGGCTGCCACCTGAGACAATTCCATTCACAGTATATATGATGGACTTGTGTTTCAGGAGGCACCCTTCACAGGACTCAGAAGATTATTTTGACACTCCCCAGACAAGCAAAATTGGTGATCCTGCCCCTTGACTGTATATTTGGATACTTCATATTGGTCCCTATGCAACTCCTGCTCTATCCTCTAACCCATTTTTCCATAGTCATTGAATGTTCACAAGAAATGTAATCGTGCCACTGTCCTGCTGAAAAGTCATCTGTGGCTCCCCACTAAGACCATCTGGAGATCTGCTGCATTAAGAATCCTTTTTTTTCTTTTTTTGAGACAGGGTCTCACTCTGTCACCCAGGCCAGAGTGCAGTGGCCCAATCAGCACTCACTGAAGCCTCATCCTCCTGGGCTCAAGTGATCTTCCCACCTCAGCCTCCCAAGTAGCTGGGACTGCAGGTGCACACCACTACACCTGGCTGATTTTTGTATTTTTTGTAGAGACGGGATTTCGCCATGTTGCCCAGGCTGATAACAATCCATCTCTAATTTACTCTTCTTGTCTGTGCTCCTGATATTCCCCACAGATCTCAACACACATCTTCCTGATTCTACCATACCAAAAAAAGTTACCATTCCCCAAACGCATATGTTGTTTAGCTTAGGTATACCTCTGTTCCAGCTATTGTCTGCCTAGACTCAGCCAGCAGTCAAGAAACTTCAACTTTTCTGTACTGTTAAAGCATATTATTGATACTGCATGGTTGTTACCTTTATATAGTTTTGCAGTTCTTATGTGAGTCTCTTGAGAGCAAAGGCTGTAAAGAATCATCTTTGCTCACCAAACTGCTCCTATCAAAGTGCCTTGCACTGTTGTAAGTTCTCACACGGAGAATCTCATTCCCCCACAATGTCAAAAAAAAAATCTGGTACTTAATGAATTTATGATTTGTAAAAGTTACGGCCTACACAAATAACTCCTCTAAGAGAACTCTGGTTTTACTCTACATTTTACTTATTTCTATCTCCTCTACAAGAAGGTAAGTTTCACTAAAGTTGTGTTTGTTTCATTCTCAGCACAAGTTTCATTCTCAGCACAAGTATTCCCAGCACAGAGAATAGTGTGCCTGGCTCACAGTAGGTATTCTAAGTATTTCTTAAATAAACAAAAAAGTTTACTTATAAGTTTCAATGTACTCCCTTTTGAGCATGGGTAATAAATCCAGAAGAAATATGATCTTTGTTATTATTCCTAGAAACAAAACAATTACATAAAGAAGACAGTAAAAATAAATTTTTAAAAGTATAGATGACTGAAATAATAGGCTTATATGTTTGCTAGCCGCCTCTTCCAAAGAAACTTTAAAAAGAATTGGTGTCTCATAAAAATCTACTATGTATCATCTCTTCCTAAGTTACCTTGGAATAGAAATGTTTAAAAAAAAATACTAAACTGATTAGTCAGCAAAAGGATGAAAGAAGCTAAGTGTGGTGGCTACACTTGTAATCCCAGCACTTTGGGAGGCCAAGGCAGGAGGATCACTTGAGCCCAAAAGTTCAAAGCTGCAGTGAGCTATGATGACACCACCACACTCCAGCCTGGATGACAGAGTGAGACCTCGTCTCTATTTAACAACAACAACAACAAAGATGAAAAAATAAATCAGAGAACTAATCAGACTCTTCAAAACTTGTAAAAGTCTATAATTTCTCTAACATAGTGAATACTGACAGCTTTCATAAAATACAGTCATTCATTCATTAAATATTTATGGAACATCTACCACGTGCCAGCCATTTTTCTAGGGATACAGCAGTGAACAAGAATAAACATTCTTGCCCTCAAAGAGAATTTTAGTGGGAGCTAGAGGCAGCTTTGCTGATAACAGACCCTATTTGCTGTGATAATTTACTAAAAGCAAACCTAAAAACTTGAAAACACTAATCTGATATACTATTTACTACTATGGAGACAAAAGCCTCAAAACTCAGAAATACGAAAAACAAACAAACAAACAAACGAGTAGTTACAGAATAAATCTCAACTGCCAAAGGCAATCTAAAATCACCAGAAGTTTTTTTTTTTTTTGAGATGGGGTCTCACTTGCTATGTTGCCCAGGCTGGTCTTGAACTCTTGAGATCAAGCAATCCTCCCACCTCAGCCTCTCAAAGTGCTGGGATTACAAGGAAGAGCCACCATGCCCAGCCTAAAGTTTAAGTATAATCAAATAGTGAATAAATACAGCCCTTGCCAAAAAGACGTCCTACATAATATAATTATCAGCAATAAAGAAAACTTACCTATTCTAAAGAGTAAGAAACAAATTCATATTTTGTCAAAGGAAAGGTACAGTCCCTAGCAACAAAGTGAAACAACTATGTAAACATTTATTTATTTAGTTAGAAAGAAAAAGAGACAGACAGACAGACAGGGTCTTGCTCTATCGCTCAAGCTGGAGAGCAGTGGCACGATCATAGCTCGCTGTCCTCAACCTCCTGGGCTCTAGTGATCAAACAAAGTGTTGGTTCTCCTGCCAGGCCTACATGTATCAGAGCACACCCGCTCCTGACTGCTGGCAAGCTGACTCCCTTTCACAATGGATAGGCTGGAAAAA